GTTATTACCCATTTTGCTACTTCCAAACAACGTAGACTAGAGTTAATTTATAAACATGTTTAGGTTCTAAATTTAAAGGAAAAAAACAAAAAAAAACAAAAAACAAGAAAACAAAAAATCTCCTATGAAGATTGAAGTCTTTATTAGACGGTATACCTATCTGAAGAGACAAAAAATACCTTGCCGACCTCGTCTCTCAAGCCACGAGCCGCCACTGCCTTGCAGTAGTTGCAGGCAGCTTCGTTATATCTTGTGATATATAAATCGTTACATGAAGGACATGCCGACCACACTGGATACACTATATATGTATATAACAAAGAATAAAATAATTATCTTACAAGATATATTTTAAATACATGGAAACTATGAAACCAGAAGCTATAGCTTCGAAGACCTGACAAAAATTGCTGTAAAGATCTCATACCAAGTTAATAATAGAAAACTTAAAAAAAATACAAAATGAAACCATCAACTAGATACTAAAATAATGCAGAATGGTCTTTATTCGGAAAGTAATACCATGTATAGATGATTTTCAACTATTAGTTATTTCAGACTTATGTTCCGAAAGATTTCCGCCGATAGTACGATTCTATTACACGAATTAATATTAAACTCACAGTTTTCTGGGTTGAACCGCGTCGATTGTCATTGCGCCGAAGTTTCGACAGTCTCTTTGATGTCTTCTTTGGCTACCGAGGTCTCAGTCTCCCGAGCCCCCAGATACTACTACACCTATCACGAATATACTAATATACTATCACGAACCAATGCATTACTGATTACGAATATATATAAGGAGTATACGTGTATATATATATATATATATATATATATATATACAGTATAGGTAAAAGTTTATGGTCGGTATGGACCTTACATGAGATGGAGTGAGAAACAACTGTTTAAAAAGAGAGAGATATATTAGGTGTCCGCCTTTTATATCACCGAACATAAATGAGTGGATATGGAGTGGATATAATAAAAAGGGGAAATTCAACGTTGCCAAACTTATTGGTTTTATTTGACCTGTTGTCTTTTTCGCATTTGAACAATGCTCCAAGATAATGAAATTTGGGCGAAATGGATTTAAATGGCAGCTTATTGTTTTTTTATTGGGAATATGCCACAATTTTACTTTACAATAAGTGTAATATAACATTTTGATTTATACTTCGGAAATCGTTTTATATAAATAAAATTTATTAATATTTGGTATTTTAAAAACGATTTCCGAATTAAAAATCTAAACATCAAAATAAGCTTATTTTAAAGTGACATTATGCCTTATTTCCAATAAAAATATTAAAGTGCATATAAATAAAAAAGCTTCGTACAAAACTATTTGCCAACGTGGCGTGTCGCGTGGTCAAATCACCGAATCAAAGCGTAAACGGTATTTACGGTATTAAAGGTATTTACGAATAGAGGTGGGTCATTGACGTCGCAAAACCGATTTTCGTAAACAAGTAACTATGATTTTTTAATAGTAGTTTCAAGTAAGAAACTACCTACATAAACAAACATAATGGCTATTATCGTTTATCTGTATATTTATTGAAGTGAAGGAAACTAATAAAAGATTTTATTATAACTTGAAAACTAAACTAAACAATACAAATAGTAAATCGTACCTACGTTTACATTACACGTTATTATTAAATCACGAATCGTCTAAATTGACATTTAAAAACATAAGTTTTTTTACTTTACTTCTTATTAAATGTGTTTTTCTTTTATTTAAAATTAAACCTAATTTTGAACATGTGTTCACATTTACAATACTTTATGAATATAGTGGTTAAGTTAGGAGATACATGGCGATGGTTTTTCCACCATTGTAATGGACTCTCGCTACAGGTGTACGTTTAGATGAATCATGTCCAATTAATTGATCAAAAATACACCATGGACTTAAGTCATCTTTATCGGTTTCTTTTTCTTTTAGCGTCATTTTTATCAGAAAATCCCTGCACTTTAAATCGTGAATCCATAAACGTACATAATGACAATATGCCACTGTATTCTATCCCTAATCTTTTTGCTAAACCCGAGATTAGTAATTATCCCGTAATTAGTAATAAAAACCCGTACTACGTCGGATACTAACTATGGATGTAAGGTTACTGTTTACTAAAATTTTATTGCAAGATTTTTGAAGGCAGCGTACCAGAACAACAATTACTGAACTATCATTCAAGTATTTTTGGCCACTCATTGTACTTGTTATTTCTTTAAAAGGCCGTAAAATTTAGGACAATTACGAAAAAATAATCCAGCCTTCATTATTTAGATTTGGTCTAAGTCTAAATTAACTGATACCAATGTGGAACGGATTGCCTCTTCTAACTCCGTCATTCTTTCTAACATGTAATAGGTGAAGTTCTACCTAGTTTTCACGTCTTGGATTGGCCGTTTGGGATCTTTGTTATGTTGTAATTGATACTTTAAAAGCGTTTCTGAAGATAAGGTATTTTTTTGAAATGTGTTTTTTGCCGAATTGTCGAAAAAAAAGACTTTTTATTTTATCTATTTGTACACGACAGCATTTAAGTGCGTCCTCCATCAATAAATTTAACGTATGAGCAAAACAATGTAAATGTTTTCATTCCAAAACATATTTAATAGCTATGACCATATTTGAGGCATTATCAGTTACTGCAAAGTTTACTTTTTGTTTTAGACCCCACTGAATAATAATTTCACTAATTTTAAAAGCGATGTTTTCTGAATTATGGTTTCCAGAAAAATGGCAGCAGTCTAATTAAACCGTGTTAAACTCTAAATTTTCGGTTAAATTCGTTAAAATCAACTAGTTGATGGTTGAAGCTGGTTACTTCTATAAAAAAAAGAAAATTATACTATTGAAAATTGACTAGTACAAGAAAAAGAAACTGATAAAGATGACTTAAGTCCATGTAAATGTAAGTACTATTTGTATTGTTTAATTTATTTTTCAAGTTATAATAAATGTATTCTTCGTTAGTTTCTTTCACTTTAATACTTATACACATAAACGATAATAGCCAATATGTTTGTGTACTCGCTAATTTGAATACTGGTAAACAATCAACTAGTTACAGTTTACGAAAAACGGTTCCGATAAAAATTTAAAAAACTAAAGGACCCACCTCTAGTTTCTTAGCTTTATGAGGATCGGAACCACAGAATATGTAAAATATCTCTGATCGGAACTAATCGTCTCAATAACAGGCAAAATGGGCGTCAAGAAGATTTATGGAGGGGAGACCAAGGGGGAATATGATTGTTATCTTTGTCTATTCGCTGAAAATATGATTTTATATCTGTGTTAGATATCCTGTTAAGTTTTACCATACCGACCATAAAATTTTACCTAATATATAATATATATATATATATATATTATATATATATATATATATTATAATATATATATATATATATATATATATATATATATATATATATATATATATATTATATATATAGGAGTATGACCGTTTAATTTAATATAAAAAAGTGCACACAAAAACATAATACTCTTTTAGATGAACTGAATATTATATATATATATATATATATATATATATATATATATATATATATATTTATATTTGCACTTTTCTTTAAATAAATAAATAATAACCTTCTATAATAATAAATACCATCGAATACACTCAAAATCTCTAAAACTATAACAAAAACATAACTAGCCTGAAATGGCCATTATCAGAACATGCAGGCAAGGCAATTACTTAAATTCATAAAACCAAAATGGGATTTAAAGAAGACAACGGAATAAAATTAAATTATAACAAGAACAAGGTGTCAAACAACCGTCTTATAAGTCTTCAATCAGTTTAGTCATGGGTACCAAAAACGAGAAACAATAGATTCTCAATTCTACGACGGTTAACACAATTCTCAAAACCCCTTCTATTTTCTTTACACACATAACCCTTCTCTCACTGGCTGACTATTCCAGATAGTATTATATTCATCGCGAATAAGTGCTTTAAAACAAATGTTTACAGTTATAGTTGGATCACCTGCAATAACATCAAACACTGTTATCAAAACTAAGCTTTCTGTCGAGTCAAGTACATTGGCTGGAGAACTGTGGTTAACATCTTTACATCATTACAGCCGTTCAGTCCAGTTGAATTATGGCAATCCTAAGTGGCATCTAATATTTTTTTGTCAATAAATTTCGAATACACTTTGTAGTTTTCAGATTACTTTTCTTCAATTTTTCATATTTATGTATGTGTCGGTATAGCGTTGGTTGTTTATTTATAATTCTTTCCGTGTCTGCATCTTGTCTTCCAGTCTGTTAGTTTCATATTCTCTTCATTGAAGGTCATATAGCAGTGTAAAAATTCCTTCAGATTATGGAGAAAATTAAAACGCTTCAGTAAAAGTTCTGTGCACATGTTTCTTTGAAATAACTGTCTGAAATAGCTGTCTGCTATCTCACACACTTTTGCTTGATGGTCAGTACAAAGAAGAACGGATTCTAATAGTGTTAAAATCAGTTCAGATTTGAATTAAAGTTTTATTTGGCATTTCAAATGAAATTACTTTATCACTCCTCCCAACTTAATTGTTTCCATTAGTTACAAAATTATACGAGAAGCAAACACATTCTTATTGACAGATCATCCTTTAGTGTCATATTTACCACATTAAAAGATGAGACTAGAACGATAAAGAAAATTCCCCGAATTCGCTCCATCTCAGTATTAGATCAGGTAATATATACAATTTCCTTCCTTTTAAGTTAGTAAATGCATCGATGTGAACGTTATTTAGATTTTTCGTTCTTTGTAAAACATCATACTTCGTGCATTTTAGCTATCTACATATATCAGCAACGATGATGGTGCAAAAGCAAGCTGTTTATATATATATTAAACTTACTTTCTTATCTACTTCACCATATCCTACTTCTTCATCATGTTCCCTATAAAAATAAAATTATTAGTGTACTGTTAACAAAATTTAAACAAAACCAAGGAGGGGGTTAAAAGAGTCTCAATGTTAAAATAAGTTTTTTGAACTCGAATATATTTTTTATTTAATTAACATTCATAAATATTAATCTCAACATTAAAAACGTGTCTGTACAAACTTACAATCTAAATGTTTTGCGTTAATAGCGGTAATATGGTCGGAAATATGATTGTAGATTGCCTGATATGGATTTAAAATTATGTATCTCGGTAGCTGCTAAAATATGCATATATTTGCTATTTTAAATTCATAACAGGATATATTACAGGAATAGATATAAATAGTAGAAGGTAACTTCTTTTATATATAGTATTTCCTGTAGTAAGTTTACGTTCCATAAGGCTCAATTTGGTTGTGGCTCTCGTTAAAATATCTTGTACAAAAAATATATCAAATGCTATTCAATACTGACTTTAGCTACCTACACTTTAAGAATCTCACTAATACTATACGAAATGGACAAAAATCAATACCACGATAAGTAGACCACAATTTAAATTCGATGAGCATTTTTAATTTAATTTCAAAACTGACTATATAAAAATTTAAATAAAAAGGTTATAAAAACTGAGTACTATTAATAATGATATTGTATCAAATATTCCAATATTTTGCATTTATGTGGTCATAATTGGTTTTCTTGTCCAAAATGATATTTTTTCTCATATATATCTTATATGAATATTAGATTAGATAGCAATTTCAATCTCTAAACCAAGAGTACCAAAACCAAATTCCTAAGTGCGTGAAAAGCAATGAATTGAATTTAAGCATGCGTAAGTTAGGTTTAGTAATTTGCAGATTTCTTGCATATGTGAAGTAAATATTTTTGTTCATTTTCGTCAAATGGTGACAATCATCTACATGCTTTTTCGTTCAATAAATACTTCCAAGGTTAAACATCTCAGAAAAAGTTAATAAAATTGTGGAAATATGAATATATTGAATATACATTACAGTGGTAATGAAAGGTATAAAAATTACCACGTTTAATAAATTAAAGGATTTATTAAAATAAATTTAAATATTTCTTCCATTTATCTACCTCTTATACGTCGTTCTCCTGTGTCCAATATCCAATAAGAAAGGACAACGTCGCGCAACTAGTATTTTTAAATGTTACTGAGAATTATGATTTATGATTTTCAAATGTTACTGAGAAGCGGGTGGTGGTGAAAACACACGAAATCTGTGCTGATTTTACTAGGTGGCACGAACTATATTTACTAGTGATCTAGTTATAAACTTACTATATATTCATATTCCGTAGATTTTTTTATCATTTTTTCGTAAGCACCACAAGAATATTCTTAGTTTTTTTATAATAAACTTTGTCAACGGCTTAGTTATAATGACTTATAATGAAAAAAAAAAAACATAAAAAGAGTGATGCACGATTGCTCGATAAAAAAGTGATACACCAATTGTTGGAAAGAAAAATTCATATTATAAAATATACCTGAATAAAACTAATGGCATAAAAGTTTACTATCTGAGATATGTTTAACCGTGTTGCATATATTGGATTTATTTTTATTTTCAAGCAATATTTTCGAATAGTTTCAAATTAAATACAACTGTAACCAATATGTATATTTCTATTAACAAAAAATAGCAAAAAACAGTCAACTAATTCAAATTACATATGAAATTTCTACATACTCTATTGGAATAGTTTCTAGATTGTTGATTTGTAGTTTCCAAATTGTTTATATCTTAATTTACATGATCCCTCTAAATAATACTCAAGATGCCAGGATGCCTTTAGGATGTCAAAGACTATTTTGGTTGAACTAGAAAGCCATTAGTTGAACGTGAACATAAGTAATCGTAAACACGACTTCATAGATATACTTATCAGTTTGTTCTACCTGATACCAAATTATGAAGTTTATTTTTTTTGAATATTCTCCTGATATGGACCCGAATAACGTGCAGATTAATTAAAAATTGAGATTAACATTATACCTATTCATTTGTAAATGATGTTCATGGATATAAATACCTTTTATTTTCTTATCTACCGTTCGAGAAGTAAAGTCTTTTAGAAGAACATATTTTGTAAGGCATGATATTTGGAACTGGATTCCTTAACTAAATCATATTTCCGAAGATGAAGAACTACTGAAAAATAGCCTAGTAAACCTCAAAAGAAAAGCTCCAGTAAGAAGTAAAAAAAACTAACAATAATAATCGATACAGCGATGAAATAAAATAAATTACATATAGATAGCGTTCAGCATTCATAAAGTTCTATACATTTCTGTGTATTAATATTATTCTAACGCTGAGAACGAGAATGCCAAGATCCTATATTTTGACAATTTCATTATACAAAAGGATCGAACTTGAAAAGGACATTTGGGAACATTCCATTTACTACCGAACAAGTGAAGAAATAACCAACTTAAAAACGCTTAAATATGTGACACGTTTGTAAAAGGAACTAAGTATGCGCCCTTACAAAACGTAACAGAAGCTAAATAAAAGACAGAAAAGTCATGTAAGAGGAAGAACGTTTTTGATAAAAGGTTAATAGTTTGGTTTAGATTTATAAAATAGCATCTAGAGCAGCTGAACATAAGACTAAAATTGCCAAATTAATCTTCAAATTTCGCCCAGGTAATGAAACGTGACGAAGTATTAGTTTTATTCATTTTACTATGGTGTTAACAGTATTGCTTCTTCTGGCCAAAGTAAATTTTTGTTTCGTGATCTCAGATCGATTCTTCGTTTGAGTATTTGTTCCCTACACTATAGAGGTATTAATAACTATCACAATCATAAACACTGTCGCGATGCATGTAAAGAGTTTCAAGGGACTTATTAAATTAATTGCACTATGTATATTTATTAATAAATTATATGTTACATACGGGAAAATCCTTCAAGTTAGAAATATACTTATCAGTAGCGTTTAGTTGCATTTCTTTTGAACTAATATAATAATTATGACCTTAAAAAAGCTGTCTGGGTTAGAAATAATTATTATAAAATTAACTTAGTACTAGTACCATGTACTAGCACTAAGTCTAGTGCTTAGTACTATGAAAGTTAATACGTTTATATAGTATGTATAGAAAGTATTATGAAAAGGAGTGGCACTTAAATCAGGTTAGCAAATACTGAATCCTGTTGATCCAACTATTCATTCCAAAATATTGCACCGGAACTACTATATTCTTAGTTAGTAGTACCTCGATGTCGCTGCTGGTAACAATAGAGTCTAATTTTAAACTGTGTGAGTCGATATTTTATCCATAATTCTTGATTTGTCGTCATAAAGTCTAAATTAATTATCTACTGAACAATGGAAGAAACTGGATTCGCAAAGAGCTCTAGTTAAAATGAGTTTATTTTAAACATAAAAGTAATTCAATGAAAAAGTTAACCACATTTATAACCTTCGTAGAGATTAGAAAAAAGCATTGGATATCACGTAAAATTTGTAAAATGACATCAAAAAAAGAAGGACTGTAGCAAATATATTGATTCAAAGTTTGAGAAGTGAACCAATTGAGTATTTAGCATAAAAAACTTCAATAAGGCAGAATATTTTAGGCGTTATCATAGACATAGTGACTATATATACCATATGAACAAATGTTATGTATGCCATGTATCCTATAAATTGTAATGAAAAGAAAAATATAATACATTGAAATGGAACAATTAGCTCAGAATTACGTTGCCAACTATGAATAAAACTGCAATTATAATTTTCAACATCAGATATTACAAACAGTAGAAAAGGCGCCAATGTTATTGTCATTTTGCCCAATTATAATTTTATATACATCTATTAATGTGCTTTGTTAATTTTAACTTCCCAGATAAGTAGAAGCATGTTAACGTAAATTAGTTTTTATTTCTCGTGTATTTCTTTTTATGAGAAATCTAATCTTTACCAAACACTGAACTTAAGTGATACTCCAGTTTTATTTTAATAGTAAAAACTAGAATATTGTTAACTTTAAAAACCTGAATCGTTGAAATACTTTCTGAACAGTGGGAATATTTAACCATAGCTATTAAATAATTTCGAGGCGATACATCACAACTTTAACTTGTAAAAAAAAATAAATTAGAGACTTATTTAAATAGCTTATTAAAGAAATTTGTAATGCCCTTAATAGGGTCATTAGTATCATCATCTCTCCTTGGAGGATATTGTGGATAACCAGGATACTGACTAGGAGGAGGATAATAGCCACCGCCAGCCTGTGGGTTGTATCCAGAGTATCCAGAATATCCGTCTGAAGGTGGCGGATATCCCGGATTGCTAGGAGGATATCCAGGATGACTTGGATAATTGGGATAATTGGGTTGAGGAGGTTGAGAATATCCTCCATGATAATTAGAATATGGCGAAGGATAAGAAGGAGTGCTAGGTTCCGGATAAGAAGGACTACTAGGTTGAGGGTAGGAGGGACTATGTGGTTCTGGGTGAGAAGGATACGAATGTGGATATGAGGGAAACGAGGGAGCGGTAGGTCTATCTTCCTCCTCCTCCTCTTCCTCGTCCACAGTATCCCGGAGATGTCTAATATTATCATAATTGTAACCATACTCCATAACGTTTTGTTTTTCTGTGAAAATTCGAAGTATGAATTCTCCTTCTTCGTTGGGGTCGAATGTGGAAGGTACGATGCAGTATGTTCCAGGAGGTAGCTTAAATCGACAGCTGACTTCACGTAAATTGACAAAGGACGGAGAGCGTGCCACTGATGCGTTATATTTGAAGAAATTAATGTCTAATGGTTTTGGAAGTCTGTCTGGATATTTTAACTGAAAAATAAGATATATCTTGTTAAATAAATAAATAAATAAATAAACGTTAAAATATAAAATTAATGGGATACAACCGAGTATCGAAGAACCTTACAATATTCTTGAATGAAACCTACGTGTTTTAACTGTATAACTGCATAATAGTACAAATGTACACTTTTGTACTTCGAAAAAAAAATGGGAAATGTATTTTTATAAGGTCTGTATATTTTGACTCCAAATTTGACATACCGTATATTTATGTCATCAAAGAACTCTATAATTTGCGTCTAAGGTCCGTTCTCCAAATTATTTTCTGAACCAGAAAATATACACGTTGTTTGATTGACATAAGCCATTTTCCAAAATTATTTTAAATGTGATCATATGGCAATTAATACCAAATTTGAAAGCTCTTGTTACTCATTAAATTCCTAGGTTTTTGTGGGATTATGTTGCACCGTTTCAAATTGATCACCTATGAATATTCAATGGCGACTGTGTAAAAATAAGTATGAACTACAACTAATAATTTGGCAGTCTCAGCACCTAATCATTTAGCAGCAAATCTCTTGTTTCATTCAGTATTTTTGTAGATTTCTATGATTCTTTTGAATCGTTTTAAATTAGCAACTATTGAGTTGTAAAAATGATCTTAAATTGACTTCCAATTTTACTGAGTGACACAAGAACGTTCAATGGATGTATCACATTCTACACTTTTTCCACACTATCGTCATTGAACATTGAATAGTCGGTGACACAGAATAACACAAAAATATATTTCATTTCATTCACAAGTTCTTTCTACATATCCTTACGATGTTTTAAGACTCTAGGATGTTTCCTTCAGGCGGAGACAGACAGACGGATAAACAACGACACGACAGTTCTTTAATAAGTGTTGCATATCTTTTCATTTAGAAGGTAGAGTCTCGATTATCCGCCCTTCGGTTATCCGCCGTTCCGTTTTATCCGCCGCACCATTTATGCAAAAAAAATGAATTTTGTATAATTTTGAAAATAATCTGCTACACGCCAATGACTGTACAGGTAGGAATTTGGTGTCAGGCTGCCAGACAAAATAGATTATTTACCTCCCCGTCCCCAGACCAGTCATAAATACTCTGTTTTTATAACTTTATTACTTTATTTGCTATTTAGTACACTTTCGTCGAATCAACTATTGTTCCTTTCAGTGAGTCATGCACAGTAAGGTTATTTGTTCGCTTTACCGTTTTGAGGCCCGTACGCTACGAGTAAGAGTTTATTCTTTGCTATCAATCGATCGTGGTTATGGAGAAACAAAAAAGGAAAAAGATTGTCTTATCAATCAATGCAAGACAAACTAAATGCATTAAAAAGGCTTGATAAAGGGGAAACACTGCAGAGAGTGGCTGATGACTATGGTGTTGGTCGTCGTACTGTTGGAGATTGGAGGAAAAACCGATCAGAATTGGAAAAATGGTGTTCTTCACGAGCCACTGAAATCGACTTGAAAGACAGAAAATCCATAAAAAAAAGTGATTACGAAAAAACTAGCGAGGCTTTGTACATTTGGTTTGTCCACTTTAGGAATAAGGGAGTGCCTATATCCGGGCCTATCTTAAAAGAAAAGGCATTGCACTTCCAAAAGCAATTTCAAGAGGGTGAGGCAGATTTTACAGCAAGTATCGGCTGGCTAGACCGTTGGAAGAAGCGGTACGGGATTCGTCAGCTGTCTATTTGTGGTGAGAAATTATCATCAAACTTTCAAGGAATGGCTACATTTAAGAAATCGTTTCAAGCATTTATTAAGGCGGAAAATTTAACAAATGATCAAAAAATGATGATAACAAATATTTAATTGCGATGAAACAGGCCTTAATTATAAAATGTTACCCAATAAGAGTCTTGCAGCTAAAAGTGAATCAGCAGCTCCTGGCTATAAACGCAGCAAAGAGCGAGTAACCATTTTAGCATGTAGCAATTCCACGTCAAACCATAAGATGGAACTCACAATGATTGGAAAGGCAAAGAACCCCAGAGCATTTGAGGGAATTTCAAGACATGCTCTACCAGTGAAATATTGCAATCAGAAAAGTGCGTGGATGAGCAGTGACATTTTTAAAGATTGGTTCTTCTCGGATTTTGTACCATCAACAGAGAAGTTTCTAAAAGACAATAATTTACCAAGAAAAGCAGTTTTACTGTTAGATAATGCGCCGACTCATCCTGATGAAAGTGCACTAAAAGATGGGGACATAAAGGCCATGTTCCTCCCTCCGAATGTCACAGCTATCTGTCAACCTATGGACCAGGGTGTTTTGGAGACGCTGAAAAGAAACTATCGGAGAATCCTTCTATCGACCATGATAGAAGAAATGAACGATGGCCGAGACTTAATCCCTATATTGAAAGCCATTAACTTGAAAGATGTGTCCTACTGGATCTCAAGTGCATGGGATAAGGTTGGGGCACAAACAATTACTAAGTCCTGGGATAAGCTGTTGTGTGAGGATGAAGGAACTGCTGACAACACTTTGGATGAACTTCAGGAAAATATATTGCCCTTAGTGAAACGTATCCCTGGATGTGAGGATGCGTCTTTGGGTGATATTGGAGAGTGGTTTTCAAGGGATGAACAATATGAAATAACCGATGAAGAAATTGTTACGGTTGTTAATAGTGAAGGTGTTGAAGACATCGAAGAATTAGAGACTGTTGAGCCACAAAAAGTTTCACACAAAGAAGGAGTAAAAATTTTTGAAGCTGCGATAAAATACGTCGAGCAACAAGAGGAAGCCAGAGCTGTCGATATTATGATGCTACAGAGATGGCGAGACTTGGCAGTAACACAACGAGATACATCAGCAAGACAGATGAAAATCACTAGTTTTTTTCGTTCACCCTAAACCATTATGTCTACAATATCCAATGTAAGTCAATGTTGAACTGATTCTAGTTTTATTTTAATCTTGTTAATATTATTATATACATAAAGTATACAGTACATAATTACACTTTTATTGCACTTAAATAAAGTCCATTGCAATGTTATTACAATAGCCCCAAACTTGTGTTTCATTTTCTACCCTCCCTATTATCCGCCATTCCAGTTTATCCGCCCTTCCGTCGGCCCGTTTATGGCGGATAACCGAGACTCTACTGTAATGAGAAAATATTGATTTCTAATTAGAAACGTTTATCGGTATTTCAATCTCTTTGATTGTATATCTAAAGCCTAAATAAGGCTATAAGTTGCTCTGAGAGGGGTATAGGAGCAAAAGTCCTTAAAATAATACAATAACAGTATCAACAAAAAACAGTCTTTATGCTATTTTATATGTTTTATTTGATTTATTTAATATTATTTTTAGCTTTTAAGAAAATTTATAAATTTATAAATGATTTATATATATATATATATATATATATATATATATATATATATATATATATATATATATATATATAGATTTATTATAGAAATTTTAACTATGGCTACCTAATCTATCTAGCGAATATTGGTTTTTACACAATTCATCAATTCCCAGTATTTTTTATGGACAAACTGATAAAAGAAATTAAAAAGGCAGGTTTCAAGCAAATGCTTTATACAGACGACTCAATTCTCATCTCAGATAACGAAGATCAGATCAATACAGCGTATTGTAAAAATATTTAAAACTGCGACTAAGATAAACAAAATGAAAGTATGTACATTTTTAGTGGTAGCAATAGAAACCCAAACAACGTAAAAAATTAATTAACGACAAAATAAAGAAATCGAGTAAATAGTCTCGAGTATAATCATCATTCGGGCTTTACAACTCTGCGTGGGTTCCAGCCTTCTTAAGAAATTCTATCCCTCGCCTTCCTACGCCAAGCACTTACTCATATTTCTTAAGTCTTCATCGATGTTATCAAGGTACCTGTCTTCCTCTTCTTTTCTGACCAACGGAGTTTTTCTAGCTGAGTTATTTTGTTCCATCCGCATTACATGCCCTGTCCACCTCAGACGTTATATCTTAATCTATTTTACGATATCTGGATACTGGTATACTCTATAAAGTTCGAAGTTGTCACATCTTCTACACACTCCATTGTTATTCACCGCTCTATAGATTCGCCTTAGTACTTTTCTTTCGAAACATCTCCTAACATGTTTTCAGTAATTTTTTTAGACTTCGGGTCTTTGAGCAATATGTTAGTACTGGGCGTATTATTGTTTTGTATATTTTGTAGATTTATTTTTTGATATAATTAAAGATTTAAGAGAGGGATTGAAGCCAAATAGCATCTGTTGGCCTTGCAAATTCTGCGGTTTATCTCTGAGGTAGTATTACTTTCAGTGTTAACGAGCGCTCCTAGGTATACAAATTCGTTCACTGCTTCGATGACGTCGTTTTCTATAACAAGTGGTCATAGGATTTGTGATGATGTAGTCGTAATCGAAGTGGTCGTAAGATTTATTACGTGCTTATTTTCATGTACTTTTTTGGTGATTACTATTAAACCCATTTTTGAAACCGCTTCTTTTAGTGCTAAATACGCTTCTCGTACAGCAATTTCCGTTCTCTCAACAATATTGATATCATCAGCATAGACAAGGATTTGCATTGATTTGTAATATATAGAGCCGTTGGTTGTGATTTGTGACATACGTTTTGGTTGTTCCAGCGCCAGACTGAACAGCATACAGGAGAGAGGGTTTCTCTGGCGCAGCCCGTTTCATTTATATTTTAAGAGTTTTAGGCTACTTTGTAGTGTATAAACATGTGATGAGTATTTGCGCCATATTCCAGTGTTTTTCATAAAATTTGTCTCACGAGTTACAATTTGATATATTGTCGATTTACGACCTCTGAAACCAGCCTGGTATTTTCCTACTATTCGTTCTGCATATGGTGCCATGGAGTGGCATAGTATTGTCGAAAACATTTTATACGCTGCAATTAAAAGTGTAATTACTCTGTTATTAGAGCACTCAAAAATATCTCCTTTTTTGTGCATGGTGCAAAGTATTACAACATTCC